CCCAATCCTTGCTCCTGTCCCCAGTTTTCCCATGAGAAGGGGAGGCAGAATCTGCAGGCTGGGGGTGCAGAGGCCCACCCATGCCGGCCGGGAAGGGGGACCGTGGCCACCACGGGCTCTGGCAGGGTTGAGGGGGAGGACTCTCACCCCATGGACACTCGTCACTTTCTGTTCAGATACTGGACCTTTGGAGACGCCAAGGAGTTACAGAGTGAGCCTTATTTAAGAGTGAGCCAAAAAGTCGGGGCTTGGGGGCTGCTTTGTTTCCTATCAGGATCAGAAAAATGTGATTTGTATATTGAATAAATTTTTTTGACAGGCAGAGTGGACAGTGAGAGAGAGAGACAGAGAGAAAGGTCTTCCTTTTTCCGTTGGTTCACCCCTCAATGGCTGCTGTAGCTGGCGCACCGTGCTGATCTGCAGGCAGGAGCCAGGTGCTTCTCCTGGTCTCCCATGGGGTGCAGGGCCCAAGCACTTGGGCCATCCTCCACTGCACTCCCGGGCCACAGCAGAGAGCTGGACTGGAAGAGGGGCAACCGGGACAGAATCCAGCACCCTGACCAGGACTAGAACCCAGTGTGCCAGCGCCACAAGGTGGAGGATTAGCCTAATGAGCTGCGGCGCCGGCCTATCAAATCCCACTTTTAGCAAAGTGGTTTCACCACGATCAGGGGTAAGTCAGCCACAGGACTTTGGAGTGGTGAACAGATTTACCTACAAGGTAGACACAACACAACACACATTTCCTGTGGCCACCCTCCTAGCTGCCTTTGCAGATCAGGGTCCATTGGAATGTGTCTCCCTAGCTCTCCACTTCCTTGGTGAAAACAACAACAGATGCATCGTGATGAGCCTCTGCATTGTGAATATTGTACCCAAAACAGGTGGAAAAGACACTTCCCCGGGAAGAGGCAAGAGTAGAGGGGTGAAGGAGTCCCCACGGAACCTCCTCCGTCTCCCAGGTCCACGTGCGGATGATGTCCCAAGACACCGGGCCACGTCTGGAGGGAAACCTCTTCATGGTTGCAGAAACCAAGGGGCTGGCTCTCTCTCAGCTGCCCTGGTGGGGGTCTGTGATAATGGGGAAGGGGTTCCTGAGCCCCTGGGGGATACCTCCACCCTGGTATTTCCTGACCCAGTGTGTCCAGGCCAGGTAGAAGCGACCATGATAGCGGTCACATCCATTCCTATGAAGAATGAGCAGAGCAGGTCTGATTGCAGCTACTGAAGCACCCAAGGCCTGGGTGCACCTTTGGGTGCACAAGCCGGAGAAGAGAACAGGGCAGAAGGGACGGTCCCCATGTCTGAGTCCACCCAGGGCGGCGAAGTTACAGGGATCTGCACCTGGGACCTCAGTGTGGAGGAAACAGAGACTTTCTAAGCAGCTGCAGAGGTCAGCAGCTATGGGTTGACTACTCACAAAGGCATAAGTCTGACGATACTAGGGAAGTCAGGTCAAGCTCATCAACTTCTTAGTGTTGGTTCAGAAATCATTAAAAATCACATCTAGTTGTTGACACGGGTAGCCAGAGAGGTTCCGCTCTGTACCCTAGAAATCAGTAGACTACAGAGACAGGAAACAACTCAGAATAGCAAACCTACAGCCCAGATGCCGGCTGGCACGGCTGGGCATTCAGAATGCCCGGTCTAGGGGCTCTGGGTCAGCGCCCCCATCCCTTGGGCAGAAATGCTGGCTCACAATCCTATGCCCCCCAGGAGGCCCTGGGACTTGTCAGTCCCCTGCCCCTTCAAAAGAACCCATTCCAGCGGTGTTGGGAGGAGGCTGGACAAGGCAAGCTTTCCAGGGCCGTGGGCAGGCACTGCCTACCCCGGGGTCTCAGGCGGGTGAGTGAGTCAGGATGACCCTGGCTGAATGATCGGAAACAGCTTGTTCCTGGTGGGCGCTGCACCTGCTGTTCATGCACAGAATGGCTGGTGTGACTCTTACCACTGCAGGACTTACTTCTCAATGGATTAAGATGCTGAGAGACAACCGGGTGCTCTAGGCAACCTCCCAGAATGCCTACACCCGCACGGAGCAAATGTGAACCCCTGGTGCTAGCCACAAACTGTAGGGGAGGGCGTGGGTGGCAGGGAGGGGACAGCAGAGACACACGGCACGGGGCTGGCCATGGGTGGCTTGCCTTACAGCAGGTGGGGATGGCAGGTGGGGGGTGACGACAGTGCCATGCAATCCCCGATGCTGAGGCCACACAGAGATGCCCTGGGAAATGGGTAAAATGCTAATTCAGCTTGAGATGAGTGACACAGAGAGAAGGGCCTTGGGAAGGGGACAGAGGACGCAGCTGTGGCCCAGGCTCCACGATGGCCTAGGATGCCTCTTTGTCAACAATAACACACACGTGTCATTCTCAGCCGTTCACCTGGTCTCTCGTGAAGGCCGACACATTTGCACACACATGGCAGGAAGCCGAGTCTTCAACAATACAAGGCACAGTTTCACTGTCATTGTTAATCCTCATTCCATTTCACCTGCTTGGACGCCATTGTTTTCAACTAAGCTGAATAAAGTCCCCGTGTGTTTCAAGGTGAGGCATGCTCACCCCTCGGTGTGGCCCAGGGAAGGACCTGCGCAGCCCCAACGCTGCCCATGCTGCAGCTCCAGGCAGCACAGCTGCACAGCAGTCCAGGCCTCAGCAGGCCACGCCCAGCGAATGTCACACATGAACCCTGAAGACCGGAGATTCTGGCTGGGTAACCGTGGCTTAGTTCTTGGCTCATCTTGATGAACTTCACCTGCATTGCAACCCAACTGGAAGCAAACCTACTGAGGTCTAGGTACAGAAAGTAGAACAATCAACCACATTCGTTTGCTCGTGGTGCACCTCTATTACGATAATCCAGGAAACAGATACTCCACGCCAAGAACAAACATTTCACCTGCTTTGATTTCCTGTTCTCTCTTTACTACTTGTTAGAGTAGCCTTATTTATATTTATTCGTTCTTGCAAAATTTACCAAAAAATACAGCATGGAAAATATCTTTATCCTGTCTATGTCAAAAGGGTCAGCAACTTTGACCACAGGGATATGATTTTTTTCAATTTATGTCATTCTTCCTAATATGATTAAAAAATTACAAAAGAGGGACCGGTGCTGTGGCGGTAAAGCTGCCACCTGCAGTGCTAGCATCCCATATGGGCGCCGGTTCAAGTCCTGGCTGCTCCATTTCCAATCCAGCTCTCTGCTATGGCCTGGGAAAGCAATGGAGGATGGCCCAATTCCTTGGGCCCCTGCACCCGCGTGGGAGACCCAGAAGAAGCTCCTGGCTCCTGGATTCAGATCGACCCAGCTCTCGTCGTTGCGGCCAACTGGGGAGTGAACCAGGGAATGGAAGACCTCTCTCTCTCTGCCTCTCCTCTCTTTGTATAACTCTGACTTTTAAATAAATAAATATTTTTTTAAAAAAATTACAAAACAATGGGGACTGGTCAACTGCCAAAGCCTATTTTAAGGTTATCCAAATTTTCAAGACCTTTCTGTGACTTAGAAAGTGGATTTGTAAATCTGCAAAACCTTAAGCTTTCCATGCACTGCTGTGAGTGAGAAATACTGCAAATATAACCTTTTCTTGCGTTATTTGGGGATTTAAGCTCAGATTTGAGTGACCCACGGAGGAAACAGAGACGGAACATGAGAATACTGCCCTGTAGAAGTTTAACTGATCAGACGTTAATTCACTTCTCAGTACCCACTCATCCCCGTCTACACTCATTGGTTAGCAGACAATTTTAGGAGGCAAGACCATCACCATACATTTACACACTGACACAATGGCAACACAGCCACTGAGGGGGAGTCGCGTGTCTTCCACGTCTGTGTCTGTGTTTTTTCCATGTGTTAAGAGTCGCGACTACATAGAAGTATTTACAGTTATACAGATTCAGGGCTCTGTAAGACGGAGATGTCAGATGGACACTTCCTCCAAGTTTCTTTGCACATGTGGGTTTACATATTAATTTGTGCAATGTCAATTCCAGCAATCCTCCCTATAATTTGCACTAATTTAGCACATTAGTATCATTCTGTGAGCAACCGTCACAGCTGAAGTCACAAGTTAACGGATAGACAGCAAGAAATCTTAGCAAAAACAAGACTTCTCCCCACACCAAATCTTGATATATTTCTGCTGAACTATGGTTTACCCTACAGCTGCCCTCAAATCACAGACTGAAAATGTTATCCATGTTCAGTGGGATTTTATATGTGTCCATTTCACATTTTAATAAGAATTTTGGTGCTCCTCTACCCTCAACATCAACTGAGATGTCTGTATTTATTTAAAACTTTCTCATCGACGTGTGTTGGTGCTAATGTTTCCAAGAAATCTCTGCAGACAGCAAGTTTCAGGAATTTGATGAAGTCCTTGTGGACAACACAGAAATTCTCAGAAGGTTCCATTCAGTGATGAGCATACGTGGGAAGACTTCTGATGCAGTCTCGCTCCCAGGCATCTGCTCAAGGCCATGCTGAGTGACAGGACTAACAACACAGCTCTCCATTACAGCTGCGACAGAGATCTACAATTTTTAGATGATCAAACAGCCCTGAAAAACGGCTGCTTAACAACGATGAAAGGTATGAGCCATCGTGACGACCACGGAGACCCTTTGTCAAAGGATCCAGGAAACAAGGGAGGCGGTAAGAGAACGCTTTGCAGACCCCATCAAAAAAGACGTGGGTGACTCAACAGACACAGTGCTTCAGATACTCAGACGCTCCTCGGCCTCCGTTCCTAAAGCTTTTATGCTTCTTGGTGCGTGAAAGGCCAAAAACGCCTTCAATCCAGGGAAAACGCATTTGCATATCTGCATGGGTGGGGGGAATCCATCTGGCTTAAAACTCTAAAGAATAATCAATAACACGCTTCAAGTGGAATGACCTGGTTACAGTGAAATGCTCGGGTGAAGTTTAAGACGGGCCACGCTGGGATGCGGAGCAGCGTTAGGAGTGGGGGGCCAGCATCCGGGGGCTCCTACCTTCTGGGCTCCTCTTGGCTTTGGAGGTAACAGTTCATGGTGTTCACCAGAAAGCTGAACAGACGACTGTACAGGGACTTGGCCAAGAGGTCCCGGTAGAAGTCAGCCATGGGTACGGTGTGTCTCCGCAGGATCAGATCTCCTACGGCAGCGGTGGGGAGGGAGGCACAGGAACAAAGGTTTTCCATTGCTCAGAAGTCAGCAAACCTCACATCCTGCTCATTCTCCAGACAGCCTCGTGTGTCATAGGACATCAAACAATGAGACTGCGACTCTAATAATGGAGGTCTCCCCAAGTTGTGTAAAAAGGTCCCCCCAAATGAGGTCATGTGCATTCAGTCTTACTTGTTCCACAGGTTGACCACAGCACTTGACTTTGAGGCAACTGTCAATCAGGCCCCTCAAAACAGGTTTTCTATCAACAACCCACTGGGCGGGATATGGACTCATCCCAAGGGATCCCGACCATCAGGAAAACCAGACATTTCCAAGGACGTAGTCTAATCAGGCACCAGGCGGGGCTGGCACTGGGCAGTAAGACGGAGCCTCAAAGGAGGAATTCCTACATCTTTCTCAAAGAGATAGCAATGAAAATCTTGAGGCACAGGGGTTTTCATGGAGATTAAATCAGAGAAGGGAACAAGAAGAGAAAGGGTGAGCATAAACTGAGTCCATCACAGCTTGCTGGGGAGCTGGGAGTGAACGGGGGTCTTGAATTCACACTCGAAGGCCTTGGCCCCGGGGGCTCACGGTGTGCCTCAGTCTGAGTGGGGGGTGGAAACAGGCTGAGGACCCTGGGAGGTGAGGGCCGAGTGGGTTGTCAGTCCATCAGAGGCACAAGTAAGGGAGGAGAATTGCTGCTGGAACGGGTTGAGCCACAAAGCAACAACGGGCACGGTAGGCAGAGAGCCCCAACGTCAAGGCCACAGGGGCACCAGCACAGAGCAGCAGAGAAAGCAGGTGCACACGCAAAGTCCCCGGAGTCCACGTGGTGGAGGATTCTGACGAGCCACCAACATGGTGCGAGGGTCAGGGAGCGAGGGCTGTGTAGCACAGGCAGCCGCTCCCATCAAATGAGGGATGCTGAGAGGGAGTTCCACTTTTGTCAATGAAGGTGTGACAAAGAACAACGTATTCGGAGAACTCGGAGACCCTTGGTATGCCTGGATACTGGGCAGCTGGGAGAGATCGGGTCGGGGTGATGACATGGCCCATGTGGGAAGGGGCCTCCCCTGCCATCCTGCAGTCTGGGCTTCCCCACCCCGAGGAGGGTGTCTGCCAAAGACTGTCATCCACTGTGAAGGCTGCCTTCGCCTTCCTGGAGCCGGGTAGAAGGAGAGCATCAGGAGACCAGGCAGATGGAAGACCAGAGGGGATGGGATGATGAAAAGGGGACCTTAGAAACAGTGAGAGGAATCTGAGGGGTCAAACTGGCATGGGTCTCAGCTGCTTCACGGAGGGAGACAGAGGGGAGGAACCAAGGGTGACACTGGGCGTCTGGGCGGATAACGGGGAGACTGGGTGGATAATGGGGAGATGCACTAATCAAGAATGTGGCAGGGGGGTTCTGGGAGGAGGGGCCACTCAGCAATCATTAGCCACTTGTGCGAACACTGCAGATGTGGTCTCTGGGGACAGCAAGGAAGACTCGCAAGGGGTCAGGGAACACTCTCAACTGGATGCTGAGCTCCGGCAGCTGCAACAGAGAGGAAGGTGTGGGGCTGGGACCTACAGCGAACAACTAAGGAGCAGGTGGAAAACCGACCTGGGTGCTCACTGAGTGGCGAAGGGACTGTGGCACTCAGGTGCTTTTAGGTTCTCATTCCAAACATGCCGTTTGCTGGGGACGTGGCATGCAGAGGAATCTGATCTCATTGAATCTTGGTTTTCTCATGTTTTAAAATAGAAAGAGTTATGCCCAACTCACAGCAGACGTGGGAGAAATAAAAAAAAAAAACTATAACGTCTGTAGCACTTGGCACCACGCCGGTCAGTTCAGAAACACCCAGCAAATGACAGCTATTACTGCGACCCAGTAACAGAGGGAGAGGGGGAGAGGGCAGCACAGCCCCCACAGGCAGAACGGCCCCACGTTGTCATTGACTGCATCCTGTAGAAGTGCTGGCTTTGTTTTTGCAAAATGACAGATTAGCTCGCAGTGGTGACCAGTCCATCCGATGATCTCTGACGCAGGGTCACAGAGAGGGACCAAACAGGCACATGATGGTCCTCTCGTGGGCATTCAGCTCATAGACACGCTTTCGGAGGGTGGAGATGGGCAAAGCTGTATCTACTGTAGATCCCCCAGGAGGCCCGCTAGGGCACGGAAACTTACCTTTAAAATACTGAACGTCAGTTGTTAAGGCAGACGCCAGTTCATCCGCTGACACCTGTAACATCCCAGCCACTAAAATAAAGCAGCGTTATGAACGGAAAGTTAGCATGCATTTCTTGACACCATGGCACTATGCTTCATGACTATAACTTACTCATTTATGCACATTAGTAAATGCATTTATTAAAGAGAAGGAAGGACCACTGTAACCAAGGCATCTCACTCCACGCCGTAAGGAATTCTCGTGGCTCTGAGCAGTGCAGCCCAGCTGGGTTTTCTCACTCCTGGTCCCCACAATGGCATCCAGTGATTTTTTTCCCAAAATACAGACTCAATCGCTTTGATGTGGGTGAAGAGTCGCTGCTTACAACTACCCGTGGTTTCTGTGGCTTTAAGATATTTTGAAAAGAATCTAGGAATGACTCAGAAGACATCCTCTAAGGGGAGAGTTTTTCGGCACGATCCGTGCCAGGAAGTGAAGTGTATTTGTTTAAAATGTTTAGCTAATAACATGCTCCCAAAATACGCCGGGCCGTGGGGTGAGGGGGAAGAGTACTGTGCCCTGGTGTCTACAGCATCCGTGCTGTGTGGGGATGCGAACAGAACAGCGCATCTCGCTGCCCACCCCACAGCGGTTTGTAAGGAACAAGAACAAAGTGGACCCTCGTTCCCCTTCTGGCCTCAGGAGCACAGCTGTCCGTACTCTGTCTCCCTCTACCGGTGCCTCTGCAGAGCTGCAGCTCGGAAGGTGGCTGTGGGAAGGTGGCTTCCACTGACCTTGCTCCAGCAGCTGGAGGTCAGAGACGAAAGCCGAGTCACCGTCCGTGAGGGCTGTGAACCGGATGTCTCCCAGGTGCAGTATAGCTGCCAGGATCGCAAACAGGTTCTCCACCTCCTGGGCGTTTTGCAAATGGACAGAATGAATCAATCCGATTGCTTAAAAGACACATATTTTTAAAACTTCAAAGTGGGCTGCAAAACCCATGTGGACCCCTGAGAAGGGTGGTGACTTTGCAGGTCACAGACCTTGCATCGCAGAACTGCCAATCTCTGTGGCTCTCCCGATCCCATCCAAGTCCCCTCTAGGTCAACATTCCTTGGATACGAGAGAGCGAGCGAGGAAATGATATTGGATACAAAGTCATGACTCTGACATCACCTAGACATTGAAATGCCCATGACTATGGAGGGCACTTGGGAGATGAGACTTCACGGCTGTGCTCTGGGGAGACTGGGGGCGCAGGCAGGTGAGCTGGGGGAGTTGCTGCGGCCCCCACTCTGACCCTCTTCTACTTCTCTCAGGAGATGCCTCCATGGCCGACCACAGGATTGCTTGCTCCCTTTTGCTGGACACCACAGACAGCCGCATGCAAACAACTCTGCCCCAGCCAAATGCTAACTGCTTTGTAATGTATTTTAAGGAAAGCTCAGGGGAAAAAGAGAAGGATGTTGGCAAGAGCTGTGTTGAAAAGGAAGATGGCAGGAAGTAGGAGGGTGTTTGTGTTCAAAGGCAGGAGAGGTGCTAGACCTTAAACTGGGTTTAGGTCAGTTACCTGGAGGCAAGAATGAAAAGTTGAGAAAAAGCTGTAAGGTAGACTTTGCTTTTCTGCAGAGCGCCAACCATGTAGCAGGATGATCAAGACACTTAAAGCAGGCAGAGCCCTACAGGGACAAGCGATCCGGCCTCTGGACACGCAGTTTCCTAATGTGCAAGTTGGGGTCCAGACAGCCCACAGCTGTGGCACAACACTCCACATTTTGGGTAGCTTCTGAGTCCTACGTGAGTTTTTCAAATTTAATTCTGTCATGCTGAACAGGATAACATTTTCCCAGCCTCTTCAAGTAGCCGGCAGCCTACAGGATTCCGCCCCCCCTTTTTTTTCTGTTTAAGATTATTTGTTTGTTTGTTTATTTGAGCAGTAGAGCTACAGATAGTGAGAGGGAGAGACATAGAGAAAGGTCTTCTGTCTGTTGGTTCACTCCCCAATGGCTGCCAACGGCCGGAACTGCGCTGATCTGGAGCCAGGAGCCAGCAGCCAGGAGCCAGGAGCCAGGAGCTTCTTCCTGGTCTCCCATGCTTGTGCAGGGGCCCAAGCACTTGGGCCATCTTCTACTGCTTTCCCAGGCCACAGCAGAGAGCTGGATCAGAAGTGGAACAGCCGGGACTAGAACTGGTGCCCATATGGGATGCCAGCACCGCAGGTGGAGGATTAACCTACTGTACCATGGCGCCGGCCCCAAGATTTCCCTTTCTAAGCAGCCCTGGGAGCTTCTCATGACTGTCCTGGCGTCCTGCCAGCTGGGCACCTCTGCACGGCCACTGTCCTCACTGAGGTCCTGGCTGTTCTGTGGAACCATCTTGAGTGTGCGTCACAGTGTGATGGGGGCTGGGACCAAGGAGAGAACAAGTACCTCCAGGCGTGGAGGAGAGACTGTTGCCCTGTGACTCTCGGTGGTGAGCAGGGATGCCCTGCCGCCTGGCTGGCTGCATACAGGGCGAGGGTGCAGGTGCCGTGAGGAACAGACCACGTGGCCATCGTCACCTGCACACGTTTTTGTTCAAGGGCTTTGCCGGCCCAGAACCATCATTCACATCCCGCTGGACGCTAGCCTGTCCCTCCTAAGTGGACTCCTCATCCACTTCAAGTCACTCCAAAGGGTCCAGATGAAGAGATGAACCGCACGCCTTTTGTTAAAGTGGACACGTGTCTCCTACCGCAAAGGCTGCTGTATTCTCCATCAGCTGGCTCGGTCAGCAGGTGCATTTTGCTGGCCCTGCCTTTGAGGATCAATCATGGATTTTCAAAGCCCCGTTTCCAAGCAACTGGTATTTTGGCAGAATGGTTCGCTACCCCTATCTGTGTCCCCATTTTCTGTAAGGAAGCCGAAATGTCAGGCATGGTGGGAGGGGGAAAGGACAGTGGAAAGCACAGAAGTGGCAAATGCAAAGATGGAAGCGTGTGAGTGAGCAGGAATCGGAGGACAGAAACGCAGGCACGGGATGGGCAGAGCAGAAAGAACCAGACAGGCTGGCACTGCAGACTCTGGATTCCAGCCTCCGAGTGCAGCAAGGGTGGGCAGAGCCAAGCCCGGGCAGTCAATCTGCTCGGCCCAATCCCACTTCCCCAGCCTTGTCTGCATGTGCCTGCCCACCCTCGCCCACCTGCCACTATGAGGGCAGCAGAATAACGAAGACCCGAGTCCACCCAAGTGCTGGGTCCCGAGATGAGAAGGGACGTCTCAGTCTGAGAGTCCATCCAGGCTTCGAATTCCTGGCATCCCAAAGTGGCCGCTGCAGGCCGATATGGATGGCTCCAGCATAGCCATAATGAATGGGGTGTGTGTCGGGGGGAGACCAGAGATAACACACGGTGAAACGGAGATCTCTGGGAACTCCGAGAGGCCCTTGTCCTAGCCCCACTCCTCTAGACTGGCACTGTTTCATGCAGCAACCCCTAAGTGCGCAGGGCTGTTTAAATTAGATGAACCAAAATCAAGCAATGTGGAACGTTCATTTCCTCCATCCCCCTGGCCACGTGCCACACACGGCCAGCAGCCTGCAGGTTTCTGGCATGTGCTGGAGCATCTCTGTTCTCACGGAGACGTCACTGCACAGCGGGGGGTCTCACACGCGTGGAGGCCTCACACGCGTGGAGGCTAATGCTTGCAGATGTTTGGTAATTCATTAAGAAGCAAATAAACATATTGTGCAGGAAGTTATTTCAACAAAGCGATGCGATTCACTTCATAGTGATCCTTAGCAGTAAAAACTGCTACTTTAGATCTACCAGTTTTCTCAAGGAACTGATCCCATCTGCTTGCATGGATACATGCGTTTCTCCTTTTGGGCAAGAGCTGTGCCCGCCCTCTGGTAAGCCACAAACACCCTCACCTCTGACCACTCTCTGTTTCTCCATGCTTTCCACACTCCCCTCTATGTGCTGTCTGCCTGCGGCCACTGACCCCACCCAAAGTAACCCCGAGGTGGTGGGGACTGGACCTTGCCTGCCTGTGACTCCCCGGTGGCTGCCCTCCCAGCCGCAATGCAGTAAGACTCGGGAATGCTTTCGAACGCATAGCTTGGACAAGTCAGAAGTTTGCTTTTCCCCGTGAAACACCGACACCATGACTCACCGGGGTGCTGAAGCCAACCACACTCAGAGCTTGTTTCAAAACCACCAGCTTCTCCCTGTTCTGCGCGTGCTCGGCCGCCGACACCTCCTCCCGCGTGGTCTGCTTCAAGTACCTGTTAGGACACAACGCACGCGGCTCAGGCCTCGGCTGCTGGGCAACATCTGGTGGCTGAAACTCACCACACGACACTTCAGGGAAGGAAAATTAGCTCTCGCTGTACTGGAACCCACTGACACTGCCCTACACAGCACCCGCCTTAGCAGTGCCCTCACAGCGGTGTGCAGATCGCCTGCGGAGACTCACCAGGGACAGTCCTGTGGCGTCTCAGCATCTGCAGTAACAACACTTAGAGCAATTTCTTATTTCTGTCAATATCTTTGCATCACGACGTGGTTGATGCATTCATTGATTTATCAAGCACATGTCAATCACCTTCCAAATGCCGGCAACACCAGCCGCTTCGGACATAAGAGAAGCACTCATGCCTGGATCCCCCCACGGCCACAGAGCACCGTGTGCAGGGGCAGAGACAAGCGAGCAGGCGAATGCCCTCACAGAGCTGAATGCAAGCTTCCGTGGTGCGCGGGAAGGGGTTATTCCCACAGGTGGATGAGGAGACCCGGGGTGGGGGGTGCAGGCTTTGGTCACACAAGTGGCCAGTGTTCACCAAGCAAACCCTGGACTTGAAGGCTGCTCCTGGAATAATCGCAGTGTTTAGGACGGCACCAGCCTTGGTCAAGCATGACGCATGCAGACAACATCCGTCTACAAAACTGGGCCTCAGTGCGATGTGCTCAGAGGGTTCTGTGCATCTTGTAGAAGTTTCTGTCGTGTCTTGAAGATCAAGAAGCAGTGATGGGGGCGGGGGGGGGGGCAGCATTATGGCGCTGCGGGATAAAGCCCTGGCCTGCAGCGCTGGTTTGAGCTCCAGCTGTACCGCTTCTGATCCAGCTCCCTGCTAATAAGTCTGGGAAAGCAGCAGAAGATGGCCCAAGTGCTTGGGCTCCTGCACCTCCATGGGAGACCCGGAAGAAGCTCCTGGCTCCTGGCTTCAGATCAGCCCAGCCCTGGCCTCCGTGGCCATTTGGAGAGTGAACCAGTGGATGGAAGACCTCTCTCTCTCTCTCTCTTTCTCTCTATCTCTATCTCTCTATCTATTTCTGCCTCTGTAGCTCTTTCAAATAAATCAAATAAAATCTTTTTAAAAATGCGGTAATGGGAGACTCACTAGGGGACTCATGGGCCCATTTAAAGAGCAGAAAGAAAGGGGTGATTGGGCTGGTGTCTCTGAGAGAATATCCTGGTGTCCTAGTGCAAGATCTTCTGGGAGAGCTGAGGAACCAAAGGTGGTGGGTGACCCTGCGAGAGATGAGCAGAGACAGGAGTAGAGGGGAGTGGTGGGGCAGGAGACGCAGCGGCGGCAGGACCAGGGCCGACTGGGGACAGGGAAGGAGGAAGGAGAGGCATTAAGGATGCCTGGGGAAGACGGAGCACCACGGGCCACTCAGCCAGAGAGCACTGTGAAGACTAGGGATGAGTACCGGAGAGCGCCAGCCTTATACATTAGAGCATTCCTTTTGGGTATGAGCTACTTGTTAAAGCCTGGTGGAGTTCCAGGAAATCGGGAGATACTAGGAGACGAGGGGGCACTCCGAACATTCATGGACAACGCACATTACCCTTTCATTCCAGTTTGGGCCAGCTTTTTGAAGTATGCTCGTATGGTCAGCAAGTCATCGACGTGCAGAGGACAGAGCCCAAGGGGTGGACAAGGTCACGGGAAATGAGACTCTATAAAGTTTTAGGGCTGAAATCAGAGTCATTCAAAGTAAAGGCTAATGGATGGGTACTGACTGAGAAGCAACCATGGAAACCAGGAGACGGGTCCTGGATGTGGGGGTGCTCTGTGAGCAGTGGGGGCAGGGCTGCAGGGGTTCTGAGGGGACATCACTGTCCCCATCTTGGCTGCAAGGGTGGGAGATGACTCTGGCAGCTGACGTGGGGGTGGGAGAGACTTTGCAGGGTTTAGATGCTGAGACAGGTGCAAAAAGAGACAATGAGGGAGACTGAAACCTGAGGATCATGGGTATGAAGAGGAGGGAGCTGTGGAAAGTGGGGTGGCGGGGGTCCTGAGCAACCCCAGGAGGAAGGACACGCTGTCCACATTGCACCAGGTAAGGCAGGAATTGTAAAGGCCAGGGAGCAGCGCACTGTCCTGAGATGTCAGTGTTCCCAGGGGACAAGGTTGGGCTTTGCATGAAGGCCCTGGTGAAGGCAATGTGAGGGAGACAGTAAGACTGGGCTCTGCGTAGGGAGACACAGGGGGCCAGCTGGGGCTGTGCAGCGCCCGGGCTGGGGGGGTGGAGACCAATGTGGCCTGGGCTGGGGTCACTTTCTCTAGAGTTTCTCCCATGTCCGAGGTTGGACAGGTGAGCTGGGGTTTGGGCAGTTGGGAGAAAAGGAGAAGTCAGGGGCAAGAGCATCAGTAAGAGTTGGCTTATGATGGTCAGACTCATTGCGCCTAAAAATGCTACGCAACGTTAATGACTACAGCATATTCCTGGTAAGAAATTCCAACTGCTGCAGGCACGGCTGGTTCCCAAAGCAGTTTTCCATGTGGTTTCCTGCAGGCCTCGCCTCAGTCCCACTTGCCGATCACCGCAAGAGTGTCGTGTCCGACTGAGAGAGCTCATTATCTTATTACAGAGAAAAACCGGCTGCCTTACCACTACAGGCAAATATCCCAAGGCCATCATTTCTAGCAGAATTCTTTAAAAGTAACCAATTAGCGTACTCCTCCCACGACTAGCTGAAGCATTTCCTTAAGCCATCTCCCCTCTATTTTATTTTAAAAAATCATCTTATTGGTTTGAGAATCAGAGAGAGAGAGGTCGCGGTGGGGTCAAAGCCAGGAGTTTAATCCAGGTTCCCACCACTGCTTCCCAGGTCTGCCGGGGCAGGAGGCTGGAGTCAGAAGCCACAGTGGCGTAGCAAATCCAGATACTCCCATGCGGGAGGCAGGCATCCCAGCCTGCATTTTTTTTTTTTTTTTTGACAGGCAGAGTGGACAGTGAGAGAGAGGCAGAAAGAAAGGTCTTCCTTTTGCCGTTGGTTTCCCCTCCAATGGCTGCCACGGCCGGCGCACCACGCTGATCCGAAGGCAGGAGCCAGGTACTTCTGGTCTCCCATGGGGTGCAGGGCCCAAGCACTTGGGCCATCCTCCACTGCACTCCCGGGCCACAGCAGAGAGTTGGCCTGGAAGAGGGGCAACCAGGACAGAATCTGGTGCTCCAACCGGGACTAGAACCCGGTGTGCCGGTGCCGCAAGGCGGAGGATTAGCCTAGTGAGCCGCGGCGCCGGCCCCGAGCCTGCATTTTAATCACCGGGCCAAATCCTCTCTTCAATGAGTCCCGTGGCACAGGATTCACTGCGATGGCCTCCTCCCCCAGGAGGCATCAGTAGAGCAGCCCTGTGACTCCAGGCGACTTGCGGGCGGATGGAGTCAGTGAGGTTCCTCCTGGAAACGTCTGGGCAGCTCTGGCAGCCGTGTCAGGTCTTCACCAAAGTCATGGGAAATGCGTGTCATGAAAACATCATGCGTGGAATTTCAAATTTATTTTGCAGCAAAATAAATTTTTCCGATCCATTTCTCCATGAACTTCTGGAAGATTCCTTGCTTGTCGTGGATGAGGGGGAAACCAAAAGAGACCGCTTTAGGGGGCGGGGCTTCTGCTCCCAGACTGGCTGTGCACACGTCCCTCTGCAGTCACAGAACTGGACAGGAAGAGGATTTAAAAAACATCTGTAGAACACCATGTCTATTATACAAATTCAAATTTTCTCCCGTAATCAACAGGACTTAAGACAACTTCTCAGTCCCAAAGGGACAAATATCATATGTTTTTCCTGATCGGTGACAACTTCCTCTGGGTCTCCCACGTGGGTGCCGGGGCCCAAGGACTTGGGCCATCTTCCACTGCTTTCCCAGGCCATAGCAGAGAGCTGGATTGGAAGAGGAGCAGCCGGGACTAGAACCAGCGCCCATATGGGATGCCGGTGCTTCAGGCCAGGGCGTTAACCTGCTGTGCCACAGCCCTGGCCCTATGGGACTCTGTTTCTTAATGGAGGGGATTAGCACCCAGAAGCGGAGCATTGCATGTTGATTCCTGCAGATGAAAAGCACCGTTCTGACTTTCTTCTTGCTGAGGTTCAATCCTGCAACTTCACGCTGGGGCACAGAAAACAGCTGAAAAAACAGGCCTGGCAGAATACTGAAAACAAGAATCTGGGGACCAACATTTGAGTCCCACTTGGTTCTTTCTAGAAACACTTAAATCTTCATTTCATCACCGGAAAACTGAGTAAGATACATTAAAAGTGAAGTAAAGAACACTCCATATTCCTAGTTCATTCTGTGAGCAGCAACTGAGATGTTGGGTGTGGAATGCTTCCTACACTCAGATTTCATTTTCTCGACTATTTATTTTTATTTGGATGGAACAGACATAGATCTCCCATCTCGGGTTTCGCACCCTAAGTGCTCACAACCACTGGGGATGGAGAACCCAAGCCAGGTCCCCCATGTGGTAGGAGGGACTCAAGAGCTGGAGCCATGACGGGCGCCTTCCAGGGTGGACATGAGCAGGAAGCTAGAACAGCAAGTGGGGCAGAGACTCAGAGCCAGGCACCCTGACAGGGACACAGGTGTCCCAGGCAGCATCCCAGGCATTGTGCCAGGCACCTGACCCCAGACTCTGATTTTTATTGCACACACACAATATGAAAAATTCCTGGAAAAATTATGCCTTGCCTGTGTGGGGAACTTTAAGTCCATGTGTTGTGTCATTGATGAAGCTGCTAACCTAACGAGTAACCAAGCCAAGTAAAATAACGGGACACTTTGAGACATTAACAAAATGCTATTACCAATGGGAACTATATCAAGTCATAAGATCGGCTTTCCTGTTCTCAGATAAAAGTAAGAAATAATTACAAGGGAAAGATGATAGTTCTCACTTGACTGTTGATCTCATGTGAGTCACCTGTAAGCTGACAATCATATGTAATGTGACAACACTTTTAACACTTTAAAAAGAATGACTGTGGGTTGA